TGGATCACGAGGTCGAGAGATCAAGACCATCCTGGTCAACATGGTGAAACCCCGTCTCTACTAAAAATACAAAAAATTAGCTGGGCATGGTGGCACGTGCCTGTAATCCCAGCTACTCAGGAGGCTGAGGCAGGAGAACTGCCTGAACCCAGGAGGCGGAGGTTGCGGTGAGCCGGGATCGTGCCATTGCACTCCAGCCTGGGTAACAAGAGCCAAACTCCGTCTCAAAAAAAAAAAAAAAAAAACATAACTTGACCAGAAAAATGTGGTATAACTGCCAATCAAAACAAAAAACCCACTTGAGGTCAGAGGTTATAAATTTAAGGTGAGACAAATAAATGTGTTTCCCAACCATCCTTCACATTTCTCGAAGAATAAGAATATTCTAATCCTTTAAAAATCAAATGCTTAGGCCAACACGGTGGTCCCCCAACTTGTAATCCTAGCACTTCGGGAGGCTGTGTGGAGAAGACAGCTTGAGCCCCAGAAGTTTGAGGCCAGCGGCGAAACCTCATCACTGAAAACAAAATACAAAAATTAGCCAGTCATGATGGCACGCATTTGTGTGGTCCTATCTACTCGGAAGGCTAAGGCAAGGCCGGGCACGGTGGCTCAAGCCTGTAATCCCAGCCTTTTGGGAGGCTGAGGTGGGTGGATCACGAGGTCCAGAGATTGAGACCATCCTGGTCAACATGGTGAAACCCCGTCTCTACTAAAAATACAAAAAATTAGCTGGGCATGGTGGCGCGTGCCTGTAATCCCAACTACTCAGGAGGCTGAAGCAGGAGAATTGCCTGAACCCAGGAGGCGGAGGTTGCAGTGAGCCGAGATCGTGCCATTGCACTCCAGCCTGGGTAACAAGAGCGAAACTCCGTCTCAAAAAAAAAAAAAAAAAAAAAAAAAAAGGCTAAAGCAGGAGCATCACCTGGGCCCAGGGAAGGTCAAGGCTGCAGTGGGCTGTGATTGCACCACTAACATTGCAGCCTGGGCTACAAAGTTGAATACTGATGATTACGTTATCAAGCACTGTTTTGGGTAGCCTAGCTACATTTAGTCAGTCCAGAAACTTAAAATACTATGGCATATCCTATGAGCAACCCTCTTGAAAGTATTGTTTAGCTGGGTGCAGTGGCGCATGCCTATAGTCCCAGCTACTCGGGAGACTGAGGTGGGAGGATCGCTTGAGCCCAGGAGTTCTGTGCTGTAGTGCGCTATGCCGATCAGGTGTCCACACTAAGTTCGGCATCACTATGGTGACCTCCTGGGACCGGGGAACCACCAGGTTGCCTAAGGAGGGGTGAACTGGCCCAGGTGGAAAACGGAGCAGGTCAAAATGCCCATGCTGATCAGTAGTGGGATAGTGCCTGTGAATAGCCACTGCACTCCACCCTGGGCAACATGGTGAGATATCGTTTCTTAAAAAAAGAAAGTATTGTGTTTAGGATCAATCCTAAACAGTATTCATACCATACAAATACCTGATTAACTCACAAATTATTATTATTTTTCTTTTTTTTTGAGATGAAGTTTCGCTCATCACCCAGACTGGAGTGCAGTGGGGCAATCTTGGCTCACTGTAACCTCCACCTCCCAGGTTCAAATGATTCTCCTACCTCAGCCTCCCAAGTAGCTGGAATTGCAGGCGCTTGCCACCACATCCAGCTAATTTTTGTATTTATTACTAGACACAGGGTTTCATCATGTTGGCTAGGCTGATCTTGAACTCCTAACCTCAAGTGATCCACCCACCTAGGCCTCTGAAAGTGCTGGGATTACAGACATAAGTCACTGCACCTGGCTGGAGTTATTTCTAAACACAACATCGGAATCATCTATTTCAGAAAAATCGAATTCATCAAATGAATCTGTGGCTAACAACCATTTGAGAATGGTGTTAACATCACACACAGAAATGCTATGTTTTCTAGGATTTGACATTGACAGTGATCAAGAATTACTATATTCTGTAAATGAAAATACAACTACTAAAAACAGTGCTATAAATAGAATGATGTCTTTTTTTTCCCCAAAATCGATGTATTAGAGCGATGTGAAAATAACAATTAAGAGGAGCTATCTTGTGGCAGTTATCACTGGGTAAATGCTGCAGCCCCAAGCACCACTAGCACATATTCTTGGGGCAAATAAGAAAAGGGTTAAATAACCAAGATGACAACTGGATTTCAAACATGAAAAACATAAGACCGTATGGACACTTAAAAAGCATATTTGTGGCCAGGCGCGATAGCTCACACCTGTAATCCCATCACTTTGGGAGGCCGAGGCGGGTGGATCACCTGAGGTCAGTTCAAGACCAGCCTGGCCAACACGGTGAAAACCTGTCTCTACTAAAAATACAAAAATTACAGCTGGACGTGATGGCTCACCCCTGTAATCCCAGCACTCAGGGAGGCCAAGGTGGGCAGATCACAAGGTCAGGAGCTTGAGAACAGCCAGGTCACAATGGTGAAACACTGTCTCTACTAAAAATACAAAAATCAAGCTGGGTGCAGTGGCTCACACCTATAATCCCAGAACTTTGGGAGGCCAAGGCGGGTGGATCACAAGGTCAAGAGATCAAGACCATCCTGGCCAACATGGTGAAACCCCGTCTCTATTAAAAATACAAAAATTAGTTGGGCGTGGTGGCACACGCCTGTAGTACCAGCTACTCAGGAGGCTGAGGCAGAAGAATTGCTTGAACCCAGGAGGCGGAGGTTGCACTGAGCCGAGATGACACCACTGCACTCCAGCCTGGCGCCTGGCAACAGAGCGAGACTCCATCTCAAAAAAAAAGAAAACAAAAATTAGCCGGGCGTGGTGGCAGGCGCCTGTAATCCCAGCTACTCCATAGGTTTGGCAGGAGAACTGCTTGAACTCAGGAAGCAGAGGCTGCAGTGAGCCGAGATCATGCCACTGTACTCTAGCCTGGGCAACAGAACAAGACCCACTCTCGGAGAGGGAAAAATAAAATAAAATAAAAATATATATACATATATTAGCCGGGTGAGGTGGTGGGCGCCTGTAATCCCAACTACTCAGGAGGCTGAGGCAGGAGAATCACTTGAACCCAGTAAGCAGAGGTTGCAGTGAGCTGAAATCATGCCATTTTACTCCGTCTCCAAAAAAAGAAAAAAGTATTTTTAAGATATTCTGCACAAGGTTTAAACAGAAACAGCAATAATTCTCAACCTTTATCAGAAAGGTTTTCCATAACAAAGAAAACAGAATTTTTATCTCAAACTTAACAAATAAAATCAGCTGGGCATGGTAGATCAGGTTTCTAATCGGAACACTTTCGGAAGCCAAGGCAGGGGGATTGCTGGAGACCAGCCTGGCCAACAAGCCAAAACTCCACTCCAAAAAATAAAATAATTCAGCCGGGTACAGTGGCCCATGCCTGTAATCCCAACACTGGGAGGCCAAGGCGGGCAGATCACCTGAGGTCAGGAGTTCAAGACCAGCCTAGTCAACATGGTGAAACCCCATCTCTACTAAAAATACAAAAATTGGCCGGATTTGGTGAGGCCTGCCTGTAAATCCAGCTACTCAGGAGACTGAGGCAGGAGAATCACTTCAACCCAGGAAACGGAGATTGCAGTGAGCAAAGATTGCGTCACTGCACTCCAGCCTGGACAACAAGAGCGAAACTCCATCTCAAAAATAAATAGACTGGGCATGGTGGCTCATACCTATAATCCCAGTTCTTTGGGAGGCCAAGGCAAGCGAATCACTTGAGGTCAGGAGTTCAAGACCAGCCAGGGCAACAAGATGAGAGCCTGTCTCTACCAAAAAAACAAAAAATTAGCAGGGCATGGTGGTGCATGCCTGTAATCCCAGCTACTCGGGACACTGAGGTGCGAGAATTGCTTGAACCAAGGAGGCGGAGGTTGCAGTGAGCCAAGATTGTACCACTGCATTCCAGCCTAGGCAACAGAGCAAGAATCCGTCTCAAAGAAAATAAAATAGCCACATGTGGTGGTGCCTGCCTACCCAGCTACTCAAGAGGCTAAGGCAGAAGAATCTTAGTCCAGGAGTTCAAGGTGATGGTGAGCTATGATCACATCACTGTACTCCAGCTTGGGTAACGGAATAAGACGCTGTTCTAAAAACTAAAACAGTAACAAAAATCTCTAGGGATGCAACCTATTATCTACCTTCTGGGTAAGCTTTTTAGTTAATTGTTATGCCCACTTCTGATTAAGAAACATAGCCATGGGCTGGGTGCAATGGCTCACACCTGTAATCCCAGCACTTTGGGAGGCCGAGGCGGGGGGAATCATCTGAGTCCACGAGTTCGAGACCAGCCCGACCAACATGGAGAAACCCCGTCTCTACTAAAAATACAGTTATCAGACGGACATGGCAGCACATGCCTGTAATCCCAACTATTTGGGAGGCTGAGGCAGGAGAATCACCTGAACCGGGAAAGTGGAGGTTGCGCCACTGCACTCCAGCCTGGGCAACAAGAGTGAAACTCTGCCTCCCCACCCCACCCCACCCCAAAAAAAAAGTAACTCTGCAGATATAGATCTGAGATTAAGAAGAAAAAAAAAACACAGTCATATCAAGATAGAAAAGTTACGGGAAGTATGTGAGACGAGCCTGGTAGTTCAAACCTATAACCCAGAACTCTGGAAGGCTGAGGCAGGGAGAACTGCATGAGGCTAGGAGTTTTGAGACCAACCTTGGCAACATAGCAAGACCCCATCTCTCCAAAAAATTTAAAGTGAGCCAAGTGTAGTGGTATGTGCCTGTTGTCCTAGCTTCTCAGGGGTTGAGGTGGGAGGACTGCTTAAACCCAGGAGTTCAAGGCTATTGGGAGCCCGGACAGCACATTGTACTTCAGCCTGAGCAACAAATCGAGATCTTGCCTCTATCAAAAATAATAATAATAATAATAATAATTTAAAAATAAAAAATGAAACTGTACTCATGTTATATTGTTCTTAGCTTATGTTTCAGATACAAGTCTAATTGTACCATGTAAATAATCTTACCTCTCCACGTTATCTGCAGATGTAGAAGGAGCAGGAACATCTTCAATTCTGTAATAAAAAAGGGGGAAAAAGGTAAAACTGGAGGCAATCATTAAGCCTGAAAATAAAAAATAAAAAAAGAGCTGTCATTTATTAAATACCAAAGTATTATTTACATACTTGCCTTACCAAATTTAATTCAGAATCAGTATCATGAAAACGGCCATACTACCCAAAGTAATTTACAGATTAAATGCTATCCCCATCAAGCTACGAATGACCTTCACAGAATGGAAAAAAACACCTTAAACTTCATATGGAACCAAAAGAGAACCTGCATAGCCAAGTCAATTCTAAGCAAAAAAATACAAAGCGAGAGGCATCACACCACCGGACTTCAAACTATACTACAAGGCTACAGTAATCAAAACAGCATGGTACTGGTACCAAAACAAAGATATAGACCAATGGAACAGAACAGAGGCCTCGGAGGCAACACACCATATCTACAACCATCCCATCTTTGACAAACCTGACAAAAACAAGCAATGGGGAAAGGATTCCCTATTTAATAAATGGAGTTGGAAGAACTGGCTAGCCATGTGCAGAAAGCAGAAACTGGACCCTTCCTGACACCTTACACTAAAATTAACTCCAGAAAGACTTAAACATAAGACCTAACACCATAAAAACCCTAGAAGAAAATCTAGGCAAAACCATTCAGGACAGAGTCACAGGCAAGGACTTCATGACCAAAACACCAAAAGCATTGGCAGCAAAAGCCAAAATAGACAAAAGGGAACTAATCAAACTCCACAGCTTCTGCACAGCAAAAGAAATCGTCATTAGAGTGAATCAGCAACCAAGAGAATGGGAAAAAATTTTTGCAATCTACCCATCTGACAAAGGGTTGATATCCAGAATTTACAAAGAACTAAAACATATTTACAAGAAAAAAAAAAAAGCCCATTCAAAAGTGGGTGAAGGATATGAACACTTTACAAAAGAAGACATACATGAGGCCAACACACATATAAAAAAATGCTCATCATCACTGGTCATTAGAGAAATGCAAATCAAAACTACATTAAGATACTATCTCACACCACTTAGAATGGCGATCATTAAAAAATCTAGAGACAACAGATGCGGAAGAGGATGTGGAGAAAGAGGAACACTTTTACACTGTCAGTGGGAGTGTAAAATTAGTTCAACCATTGTGGAAGACAGTGTGGCGATTCCTCAATGACCTAAAAATAGAAATCTCATTTGACCCAGCAATCCCATTACTGGGTATATATCCAAAGGATGATAAATCATTCTGCTATAAGGACACATGCACACGAATGTTCACTGTAGTACAGATCACAATAGCAAAGACCTGGAACCAACCCAAATGCCCATCGATGATAGACTGGACAGAGAAAATGTGGCACATATACACCATGAAATATTACGCAGCCATCAAAAACGATGAGTTCGTGTCCTTCGTAGGGACATGGATGAACCTGGAAACCATCATCCTCAGCAAATTGACACAAAAACAGAAAATCAAACACCGCATGTTCTCACTCATAGGCGGGTGTTGAACAATGAGAACACATGGACACGGGGAGGGGAGCACTACACATTGGGGTCTGTTGGGGGACAATGGGGGAGGGACGGAGGGGTGGGGAGTTGGGGAGAGAGAACATGGGGAGAAATGCCAGATATAGGTGAAGGGGAGGAAGGCAGCAAATCACGCTGCCATGTGTGTACCTATGCAACAATCTTGTATGTTCTTCACATGTACCCCAAAACCTAAAATGCAATAAAAAAAAATTTAAAAAATTTTTAACATTAATAGGTCAAAATGTTACAGTAAGAATGTATAGCTTTCTAATGATTTCCTTTTCACCATTTTATGCTCAAGTGTCTTCTCAACAATTTTAAGAAAGGACTCAAGGACTGTTTATATAGAGGTTGCAGCCAATGTGGAGCCAGTGGCAACAGTAAATATATTTAGTGATAGAGTCAGGATATAAAAAGTCTCCATAGAATGGTACAATAGGCCTATTTTAATAAGAATCTTCATGAAGTCCTACTCCTGTGCCCAAAAAACTAGCTACATATATGCAGAATCAGGGAGGAACAGCTAAATATCAAAGCCTGGGGGAAAAAAATCTTAGGGGATTTCAATGCTGATTTCAAGAGGAATATAAAGCAAGGTGAGGGAGGGGGACAAAAAATAATGTGATTGTAGGGGCACCAATAGAAATATATTGCATAGAACACAGAAAGAGATTGGTCCAGCTCTTGAGTGTACTGTTTTCTTTCCTCTCTTCCCTTCTTGTTCCTTCTCTTCCTTCCCTCCTTCCTTCCTCTTTCTTTTTCTTCCTTCCTTCCTCTCTTTTCACTCTTTCTTTTTTGACATGGTCTCACTCTGTCACCCAGGCTGAACTGCGGTGTGCAATCTCAGCTCACTGTAACGTCTGCCTCCTGGGCTTAAGCTCACATCCTATTGTGCTCTAATCCTCATTCCATCCTTGCAAAGAAAAACAAGCTTATCCAGAAATGAGCAATCTTGGATATGAGGAACATGTTAAAGAAGAACTTCAGTCATTTAGGGTGGAGAAGAGATTATTTAGGGGAATGATGACTGTCTCCAGCTATCATCCATTGTATGTGGCACCAGATGGCAGAACCAAGACCAGTGTGTAAAAGTCATGGGAAGTCATATTATTATAATAAAGAGCTTTTAAACACTTAGAGCTCTTTAAATGGAGACAGACTAATAAGGTAAAATGTGCCCATCAGTTTTAATCAGAGTAGGATACCACCTGATGAGAGCATTTCAAAATATTAGTACCATGTAGAGAGTTGGAACGGTTGGCCCCAAGGTCCCTTCTAATTCTGTGACTATGTGATTCTTAAAAAAAAAAATTAATTCTTATTCATTCAAATATCCAGGGCTGAAAATAAGTAGTAACTTCACAGCTATAACCACAGGGATGAGGAACAACTTAAAGGGCAGTGCAGGCAGTGCTTTCAGATACAGGTTAAGTAAGCTATCTGGGCCATTTGCCTAAATCTTGAAATGGTCTTGGATCCTTATCTACAAACTCTGTCACAGCCAGTTATTTATGTCAAATAGTTTTATTAAGGGGTCATTTTGACCAAATGATCTAGCACAGAGCTTCTCAAACTACCTGTGGTTAAAGAACTAAGTCTTTTATTTCTAGTCTGTAACCATAGGTTTTTTTTAAATACAGTGTCAGGGAGATATCAAATTGCTTTGTTTCTAAATGCTTACTCCAAACTTTTGTACTTATCTCTTTGTAGACCAGTAGCAAACTAACACTATCCTATGAACCACACAATATATCACAAATGTCCAAATAAGAGTTTGAATACTAAAAATAAAACATTATAATACTGTACATGCATTACAAACATTCAGGCACCACTGGCAACAAGAATACCCAAAATGTGTCCAGGCGCAGCGGCTCACACCTATAATCCCAACACTTTGGGGAGGCTGAGGCAGGTGGATCACCTGAGATCAGGAGTTCGAGACCAGCCTGGCCAACATGGCAAAACCCCATCTCTTCTAACAATACAAAAATTAGCTGGGCATGGTGGCACGTGCCTGTAATCCCAGCTACTCCGTAGGCTAAGGAAGGAGAATTGCTTGAACCTGAGAGGCAGAGGTTGCAGTGAGCCAAGATCATACCACTGTACTCCACTCTGGGTGACAGAGTGAGACTCCGTTCCTCAGCACGCCCCCCCCAAAAAAAATCCAAAATATTTTGTACCTATATCAGTGAGAGACTGTAATACAATACTATTTAGCTAGCCACGATGGATGTAACTGGAGAGGACTCACCCTTCTAACTCAGACAACTAGAAAAATACCCGAAATACGTGAAATATTGGAGACACTGAACTAGTAGCCCACAACAGTGATCTCAGAGACAGTGAGGGGAATGAGGTGAGCCTACTGACTATCCCAGCTTACCTTGTGGAGTTTTTTTTTTTTTTTGAGACGGAGTTTCGCCCTTGTTGCCCAGGCTGGAGTGCAATGGCGCGATCTCGGCTCACCGCAACCTCCGCCTCCTGGGCTCAGGCAATTCTCCTGCCTCAGCCTCCTGAGTAGCTGGGATTACAGGCACGTGCCACCATGCCCAGCTAATTTTTTGCACTTTTAGTAGAGACGGGGTTTCACCATGTTGACCAGGATGGTCTCGATCTCTCGACTTCGTGATCCACCCGCCTCAGCCTCCCAAAGTGCTGGGATTACAGGCTTGAGCCACCGCGCCCGGCTACCTTGTGGAGTTTTATCCACAGCATACAGGCGGACCCAAACAGAGTCCAACAATCTCACCAAATTGAAGAGACAGTTTAGAAAGACCAAGGAGGCTAGAATTTGTAGAACAGAGTAAGTAGAGAGAAGAGAGCAAACAACCTCCAGAGATCTACAGAGTGTCCCCTCAGTCTATGGCTAGGTTTCAACCAGCTTACTGTATGAGAAAACTACTGAAGCCTGGAAGACAAACACCAGAAAGGAGTAGATGAAACCTCAGAATTCACAAAGGTTCTAAAATCAAGAGCAGAAAGTAGTGCTTTAGTAATGGAGCCAAATTAGTACTAAAGAGTATTCCAGACCTGCCTAAAGAAAACTTAAAAACCTCAAAAGGATTGAACTTTCCAAATAACCATCCTAGAACAAAGCCAAAATATATCCAAAGAAACAAAACATCCGGCAACCAATACCAAATTTCATAATCTCTGATACCTCCCTCCCGCTCCAAAAAAAAATTACCAGGGAAACAAATGAAACAGAAAGTCAAACCTGTAGGGAAAATAATTAGGCAGGCATACTGGCTCATACCTGTAATCCCCACACTTTGGATGGCTTCACTTGGAGGATCACTCAGCCCAGGAGCTCGACACAAGCCTGGACAACATAGTCTTTCAAGCCTGGACAACATGGTCTTTGTATTTATACAAAAAAATAAATGGTTTTAAATTTTATCTATTTATACAAAAAATAAAAGTTAGCCAGGCATGGTGGCATGTGCCCATAGTTA